CCTTTCTTGCAACTCTGAAAGTACTCACATCTAACAAGTATTAATTCTACATCATCTTTAAACTCTTGGCAGCAATCTAAGCTCATGGAACATCATCTCTGGTCTTCCCTAATCGTGCCCCAAACTACACATTCGAGCTTAAAATATGCGCAGGTCTGATCAAATCGGCCAAAAGACAAGACTTTGCCAATCAAAACTTCGGTATCTCAGGTAATGGATGTGTGCTCTGTTTGTGAGACACGGATACATGACCCAAGTGCAGTTATTAACTTAACCTCACACGACCTCACCCTTCAGATTTCTTGAGGTTTCGATGGCTAGCCCTCATTAGTCTATCAGTTGTAAGTAAGTTCTTAAGCAGAAAGTTCACGGCTGGACTAGTTCCCAGTTGACAGCTGTCTGTACACTATTCAGCTGAATGGGACAGTGAAGCCTGAAAAGAATAGCGGAACTCACTGTTATTTCTTTGTGATTTGTAATTACGCACCCACTAACTGTAGTTCGTACGACTCCTGTTGAAAACTGTCTCGCCTCCTACCAATTGCCAAATCCTCAGACGTGGAAGTTGTTGCGGGTGATATCGATGAATAAATGGGTAGGCTAAAGTAGGAAAGCAACTAGGTGGCACTTTAAGAATCCCAGCTGAACGAACAGGTAGCGACGATTTCCTGGCAGAAAGTTTTTAGCAAACCATTTATTTCTGATCAGCATGGACTTCAGACATAAAGAGAGTTACTGACGTGTTTCCCACTGACCTCAGTACAGGTGGACACAGATAGACCACATCACTATTAGCTGTCGCTAGAGACGGTCGGTTTAAGATTGCCTCTTCTTCTGGAGTACATATGTGGATCGTGATCATACTTTAGTTCGGGCACACTTTTGTCTGGACCTAATTGAAAGTAATAAAAAATATGGCAATAAGACAATTCCTAGTGTAACTCCACAATTAGAACACTAAGGATATTTCCAGCAAAAAACCGGCTAGACAGTTATTAGGAAAGAACGGAATCCCTTATCCAGAATAACCCTGTGGCAATCTCCAGTGTACTGTAGAAACAGCGTTGAAGACCGTAGCCGGTCCTCAGAGTGTGGTTTGAAAGGATCAGTGAACCTCAGTAGCTTCTTCTGAAACAATATATACATATCCAGTCACCAACATATGGGTGGATTATGAATTATTCTACACTTGTCGCAGATATTAGAATATGTCTGAAAGTTGTGGAGTTACCTGATATAAATACCGACAGTAACTTATACCCAAAACGTTATCCAATAAATGATACTGTTGACTCACTGTGTGACACATCTAATAAACAGACTTAATTGGTATTTTGACACTTGACATGGTAAATTCTGGATGTATTGCATTGTTTCACTTTTGACCTCGTTGTTCCTGTAGCAGACAAAATTGATGACACTACATAAATACTGTATCCTTACAGTATACAGATACGAACACCGCTTTAATGTTTAGCATAGGAGAAACTGATCCTGAGTGGAGCATATAAATCGCAGTCCGCAGCTTTCTCTTTTACTTATCTTTCGTCATAACAAAGTTGAAGATAATATTGGGACGACTAGATAGGGCATGCAAATAAATACAACTCAACCCAGTACATGTTTACATACTTAGCTGAACAAAATTTATGGTGTCAGAGCTTAGATTTTAGCCAGTTGTGGAGGATGAAGTATGTGAAACAAGACTTGATCTCAGGACTCATCGCATGAAAGTCGCATACATGAGCCAATGAGCCACAACTCTGTATACTGTTAAATGGATATTGAAAAGCCGATCAGTCAGTAAACATAGAAGTTATAGCATTTCCTTCTTACCGATGTAGCGACTTATGCTCTACAAATTTAAAATTTCTGTCTGCGAATGTCACATCACTGACCTCAAAAGCGAAAATATAGGCAATATCGAAGCATCCATACAGGAGCCCATATGCCAACAGAGACTGATCAATTCAGTCCAATCAGCAACAGAATACTACAAGCAACAACTAAAGACTATATTTTGTACAACAATTTCTCAGGATTATGCAGTATACTATTGGATGTGTCTTCCCATGCATTCAGTGCATAGCCTTAGGTAAACTAACGATATCTATGAATATAATAGTAGTCATTAGGTCTTAAGACTGGTCACCATTCTATTCCATTCCAGTTTGTTTTTTCTATCTACCATCTGATGAAAATGTCTCAATTACTGGATAACGTTCCAGACACTGTTTATTAACTTTAGTCACATAAATTTAACTTCGTAAACTTTACATGTGGTTCATATAGCTCTAATTCCACTCTTGTCTCCATCACCGAAGCTCTCTGAGCAAAATTCTTAGTTCAATCAAGATGGGTGGTCATTGATAAGATAAGTAATCTGCAGTTGTGGATGCAACTACCTGCAATCTTGCAGTAGTATTGAACAGAGTGACAGTCGTTAAAACGAAATCGTTTGACTGGAGGGAGAGAATAATAAGTTCATCTTTGTTTATCGATGCAACACTAGATGTATATCAGGAGTAAGACTCAGCATCTGTTCTGGATGCACGAAAAATTCCGCTGCTTACATCATAATAGAGGAAGGAGAACAGTGTTGACGTTCTAGACTATAATATACACTATTTGATTTATAAGGATTTCTTGCATCAGACACTTGTAAATGGACAAGCTTCAGTGGATTTCTTGTGGACGTGCAATAGTAAACGGCTTCTTACTTTAGACTGCTGGATATTTATGAAAGCCAAAGTGAAAAGTTAAAAATAAACGAAAGAGAAGTCTAGTTCCAGAATGTACAAAGCTAAACATTTCCGGTCCCAGTTTATTTATGAGATCCAGCTACTGAACAGGTTTCGACTTTCTTTCGATCAAGAAGCGCTTTGCTTGGCTAGCAGGTGAATGTGTGCTTGACCCATTTTTATAAGTTTTAGATTGTCAACATGATTCATAGAATAATTCCTTGTACTGTGTTATTCGACAGACTTTGATATCTCCAAAAATCTGAGTTTAGAAACCCTGATTGTTGATTACTGACCGCATATTCATTCATAGTGAAAATAACTGGGCATTCATTCTTTTGGTAAACCGGAGCAAAATCGTCCGGAAAACCCACCGATTTCGATTACCAAATCAATTACATTTGACTAACTGTCCATCTGTATTTACAGAAGTTATCCAGTCAGTATTGAAATGCGGCGCTTAATCACCATACAACGGGTAAAGTTATCAAACCTCCTGTCAGTAAATCAAGATACAGGGCAGCAATATGTAAGGTGAAGAAATAATGAAGAAAGTAATCATAGGTCGTAGACAGCTTTAATAAGATAATAAGACAGTTTACAACAATGATGAAATGTGATTAGGCATGGGTACTTGTGCACCACTAAGGTCGATTCTGAGCCTTAGAGTCTGAAGCTACAGATTTTGATTGTCACATACACCCTAATTGGGAAATTTTCTCTTTTCTATAGGGCTGATATCAACAGTCAAAGATTTCACGGACTGGTTTCAGGTTTAAGTATTACCACATTAGACCTTTTTATAGTCTATGTCAACTTCAACTAACATTGTGCTAGGGAAGAGATGGTGAATAAGCATGAGTGACAGACGTCCCAGACACCTGAGCAGATGAAGATTTACAAGCCCATCAAATGACTGATTCCTCTTACATAAAACTCCATACTTGACTTCTGCTTTGCTGATGTAGGTTGCTTTCTGTTCAGAAATCTAGTGGTCCGACCACTGACTTATGTGCTACTGTTTCTGAATTCCTTATAGATATTTATAATAAGTAACTGCTAATGATATTTTAATTTCCCTTCGGTCAGTGAGTATTTTGCTTGACTGTATTAAGACGCATATTTTGTCTCATCATCTGCTATTTGGAAGCTTACCAGTGGTTGAATGCGTAAAACAGGTGTCAGTCATGCTAAATTTTACCCAGAATTAGATGCCAGCAGGTTTAAGGGAACAGTAAATCTCAAAACTTGAGATTAAATACTTCAGATTTTAGGATTTACCAAGGCGATAAGGATAAAGTCATGCTAAAATAGTGTGAAATTTTCGTTTCTATGGGATATAGAAAACGACGATAGCAATATGCATCACAAAGATTCTAAGCAAACAACTGAAACTGGTGGTGGGTTATTCTGTCGACATTATGCTTGTAGAACAATGCTGCATAGATTTCAGACTGGTCAAGGATGATGGTTATAACAGAACTTCTTGAAAGACTAGGGTGTTTTACAAAGAGAAAATATATGTTGTTTGACTGTCAGTTGAGGAAACCGATTCTATGCGTAACCCATACATGTCTTACAAAATCTACCTCTTACTTTAGATGCATAATAGTGAGTCTTCTGTGCAGAATGCAGAGTGTTTTAGAGTCCACTGTTAGATCAATAAAATCTTTTCCCCAAATCTTGTAATCTATCAACGTAAAAGTTTAAATCGTTATGGCTTTCTCAGATAAGGAGCTGTGAAATACCGCATATGGGCGTAGTCTCTGTCTCCAAGATTCATCAATCGATTATTGTCAACAATTTATGAGAATGAATCCAGTGAACATCGTGGTAGCTGATCACCTGTGAAACGTAGTAGCTTCAATAATCAGCTTAGTGCAAATATGTCTGTTTATCACCTTCATAGAAATTAATTAGGATATTCTGGATGTTGCATTTACTTGATGAGTAATATATTAAATACCAATAGCCTTATTGATTGTACAAAATTAAGCTACATATACTGTTGACCGACTTGTTTAAAGACGACCATCTGATAGTTTTGTGGCTCCAGTTGAGCTTCTAAAGCACGCTACTTGTTGGTACTAACGTTATCCAGCTCAAAGATGCTTTCGTTTTTGTTAAGGAAGTGTATGAAACACCAACTTATCACCCAATGGGTTTAAAACATTCTTCTTTGCAGTAAGAAAGATAAGTAGCTTTTCTACTTGAAATTTCGAACAAGTAGTATCCTAATCAAATCTGTTTTTTTTGAAGAGTGATGATACTGCTGGAAATCTTCCGCATGCACCAAGTCCAGTCCCTGAATTCTCAAGAGCAGCCTCGAGCCTGTCACCAGTTTCACTTGGAAGGAAATTTCGACAAAACGATGTAAAACGGCAAGATATTGACAGGATAGCTACAGCTGCACAACCACCAAGACAGTTATCTTCTCGATTTATCAATACATCGCATGATGAACTGAAGGCATTGCCTTTATTGGTTGGTAAGCTCAGTTATTTTTAATATTTTATGCTTCCTGTATATTAAATGTTGTCGTTTATTGGTATGAATCACTTTTACCTCATTAATGTTTGCTAAGTGATGATAAATTCATGGGATGAAGTAAATTGGAGACAATGAATGCCTTCAAGAAGACACCTTTGAAATTCCTCATATCCTAAAGTGAACATGGACTATCTGAATAGAATTTTGCAAAGATATTAAATCAGCCGCCGAAACTAAATTTTTTAATCATGCAGTTTATGAGAAACTGGTGAATACAAGCACAAAGACTGACATCATCTGATGAATTATTGAGAAAGAGAAGAATAGGGCAGTTATTCACTGTTCATTTGTTCGAGACTTTCAAAATATTAAGTATTTATGCAAGAACACTACCTATAAACCACAATACAAATATTTGTATTCATTTTCACATAGCTTTAAGTCAATCATTACAACAAATGTTATTGTTCTGTTGTGATACAAAATGATTGAGATTTCAGGTTGGTAATCATTATTGACTGATATCAGTTGAAGAAATATTGGAAACCTGGGAACACTGGACAGCTGTTTCATCCTAGTATAGGACTCAGCAGTGCGCACCCACGACCCTAGCATGATCGAAACTAGGACCTTCAGACTCCACGGCTACCACCTTAACATTGACCGAGATTTATTGTCAGGTTGATTAAACTGGGATCAAATCAATAAATGACTTGATAATATGTTTCTGTTATGCATAATGAATCAGTAAATGCTTGAACACTCATAACTTTCATAAAACATATTGCTAATTCTTCCTTACTGTGAAACGAAAGAAGACGACTGCTGAGAAAAAATATTTCTCTTTTCGATGAGATCATTCCCTTAGCTGTACTTTAGTACATACGTAGTACTAGGAATGGACCATTGCATCGTGATTCCCGGTCATAGATCAGTATAAATTGCATGAAAAAGGAAAGTTGTATAATGCCTCTAGGGGTTTAAAATGGGGAAATAAACTAAATGATTACAAAATAAAAAATTGTCATATCACACGGGAATTATCTAGAATGTTCGATCTTCTACGACGGCCATGGGAAAGAAAGAGGTTGTACATACTTCTTTTAAATCCATTATGATGCTTTAAACTTTTGAATTCCTAATGTTTTAGCTGTGTCGAGATGTATGAACATCACTCCTTTTGAGTGGATTGATCTCACCTTGTCCTGAGTTTACCAAATGTTTCTTACAGAGCTGAAGGTTTATTTCTGTTCTCTTCTTGTCAATTGGGTTGGGTAGTGTTCTTGAGTCAGTTGCATAGACTGGCGCACAATACGGCAATGTACTCGATTCCAAAAGGGCAGTTAAACTGGTATAAGCACAGTGATGTGGCTCACTGCTCTAGCTTATCGTTTGTACACTGAGGAATGAGTTTCTGACAGCAAAATATAATTCTAAGATAGGTGACAAATAATGTTATGTTTATGGATCCTGATGGTCTCTCTCCAAGTATGTCTGTAGCACTATCTCCCTTGAATTCGAAGTTTAACAGTAAAATCTTTTTCAGAACAGCATGAATGGATTCCTTGGCATCTCTCAGTTTTAGATTCATATCCATACGTTTTATTGGGTATCAGGATTTCTAGTAGTTTTTCTGGTTCACCTTTTATGGTATCCTCCGTGTGTATCCTTTGTATTCTTGGAGACAGTGTATTGATTAGATTTCCCCTTCTGCGTTAGGTGGTGGCTTTAAAAATTGATAAACTGCCAGTTGCAGGTGGACTTTCTGTAAATAGGTCTCTGAACTAAATTGTCATCTCTTCGAAGCAGGTTTTCGAGATTCGTATTCTAGTCACAAACAATGAAAGTACCACCTATGCAACGTTTGTAGATAGGAAGCTCATCGATTATTGCTGCTAAGGTTATGTTTTCCAGGCTTGCCATAAAGTAGTCAGCTAGGAGGCATCCTAGAGGCAATCACATTTCCACGCCATTTCTCTGTCTGTAGATTTCGTTGTTAAGTCTGAAGAGCACGCTGGATTTACATCATAGAAAAATTTCCTTCGAACAGTGATTTAGGATATCGATATTTATGTCATAAGAATGAATGAAGTAATACAGAAAACAAATGGTTTCCTTTAATGGGACATTTGTAAATAGGGAGATGATATTCAAAGGAATCATCCTCTTTCCTGAGAGAATGATATTCTTGATTAAATCAAAGAAGTGAATTGAGTCCTTTAGGCTGTTTCGAAGTTTTATTCTTCACTGAACCCAGTATCTCAGTAAGGCATTTCGCAACCGAATGGTAAGTAGAATGAGCTACATCTAGTATTGAACGAAGGGGAACACCCTTTTTGTCTACTTTGGATGAATCAAGTGTCCAAGGTTAGAGGAACCTGGTGGGCGAAGTTGTTTTCAGAGTTCAGTGCTAATCAATGAAACACCTGTAAAATTTTGCAGTATAATGGCATGAAGGTGACTAAATGTTCATTTAAGGATGAGTACATATGTTAAACTAGTATATTTGATTCTAATACATAGCTGTGGCTGAGGTGTACAACAAAAGATGCTCCAGGTATCTGACCAGCCGTTTCCTTGAGGAGGCATTCATGTATATCAGAAAATAGCTGACTAAATAATTCTTAGGCAAAGTGCAGAATTAAATTGAATGTTAAGAGACAGATTAGTCAGACATATATATTTTTGCTAACTATGACAATTTTGGTGCACTTTAGATAATATGAAACTGTATTTGACCTTAGTACCATTTATTGGCTAGGTTTGTCAACAGTGGTAGAATCTTCAGAGAAGTTGAACCAGAAAATGAAACTATTTCCAAACCGTCCCTAATTAGTAGTCGGAAATGTTTAGGAAATGTAGGCTGATTGACTGAGGTGTGACGAACCGGGAAAATCGGTTTTGTGAAACACTAATTGCAATGTTTCAAAGTCGCCTAAATTGATACAGACGTATCTTTTACGGAATACTAGACGTTCTTTTACTTCATACTTATTTGTTCTTACTTTAAAGGCAATTTCTTTTAACATATTATGCGAGATCTCTCATCATTATGTTTTTGTTCAAATTACCCTTTAAGAATATTTTTCATTTCAACTTACAGACTACTTAGTTTACCCAGGTTGTCCTGTTTTTAAGTGAGTTGAAATGAATTAATCTAATGTCAAAAACTAATAATCTCAGTAAAATGTATGGTACTATTAAGATTCATAAACGAGGTTATCCCATAAGACCCAAAGTAGATTTTAGAAACACTGCGACTTACGAGCTGTCTAAATACTTAGCAATGATGCTAGGTTCATTTAGATATCATTCAAAATCTCGACTTACTAACTCTTATGATCTGAAGCATAGACTAGATGATATACGAATCAATAACATAACTAGCCTTTACACGAATATACCGATCGGCATGACTCTAGAGGCAGTTAGAAATAGGCTTAAGGATGACAATGAGCTTACACATCAAAACTAAGATGGCGATCAAGGAAATTATGCTAGGAGTACGATTGTGGCTGAAGTCTACAGTTTTTAAGTTTCAAAATAAAATACTGAAACAAACTAAAGGTGCTGCCATAGGATCACCAATATCCCCCATCGTCGCAGACCTATTCATGAATAGTTGGAAACAGATGGACCTTCAAAAAATTAATCCTACTCCAAAGATACGGTTCTGATTTGTAGAGGATATGTTTACAGCACTGAAGTCAGAAAATATCAATGGGTTCCTAGCACATATAAATTCAGTAGTGAATACAATCCAATTTACCTGTAACTTAAAAAGTAATGAATGTGAGTTAGCAATGTTGGATTGCATGATTAAACGAGAAAAAGACGGAAGTTTACAGGCTAGTGCCTATAAAAATCTTTCCCATTCGAATCGCTACTCAGATTCCAAATCATCTCACCCCATCTCAGTTAAGGTAGGCTTAGTTTAATGCCTAAGTGATAGGGTGAAAGAGCTTACCGGTAGGCCAGAAAATCAAGAACACGCAGCGTCTGAATAATTATCCACCAAAACTTATAAATGAATTCATAAGAAACCGACAGGGAAATATTAGCACTATTGGCAGTAACATAGATGTTGTTAATAATAATTCTACTACTACTAATGATAATGGTGACAGGGTCGAGAGAGAATTCGAATCATCCACTGTGTTATCATACAAAAAAGGCACCTCAGAAATGGCACGAAGAATTCTGAATAAGGTTGAGATTAGAGTGGCATTTAAGCCAACAAACCCGCTTAGAAACAACTAGACAAACATATCATAGAAACAGGTCTCAAAGCCAGTGTTCAAACAGCTTTCAATGTTTTATATAAAAACAGTCAGGGACGTATTCCAAGATTTGCGGAAGCTATAACCGTACACAAATTTAAACCACCTTTATGTGTACAAAAGCAGTTTGTTCTTACACTACACTTAACTTGATAAACCTTGTTTTCTTACTAAGATTAGGATCACTATGTCACTTCCTGTTTGTCCTCATCTTTTCTAATTTTAATCCCCTATTGTGTCAGTTGCTGTATTTGTGTCCCCAGTCCTCGGTTTAATATATATTGAACCGACAAGTATTGCGCAAATATATCACATTGTTTAGGTAAACTTTGTCTTCTAATTGCGCTATCGAAATTCATAAAAGGGACCAACTGTTTCAAAATAATTTAAAGTTGTTATTCATCGTAGACTGACATCAGTTGGAGGAACAAAGGAAACCTGGGAGCACTGGACAGCTGTTTCGTCCTAGTATGGGACTCCTCAGCAGTGCGCACCCACGACCCTACACCAGCAGGGATCGAACCCGCAACCTTCAGGTTCCGCGGCCAGCGCGTTACCATTGAGCCACGGGGTCGTAATCCGATGCTCCATATTTCCAACTTCTGTTAGCTCACGATGTCGGTCTACGATGAATAACAACTTGAAATATTTCCAAATCTCCACAACTCCCTCAAAATAATTTAGTTTGGAAAACCCCCTTGCAACGACTGCGAGACCAAATACACAGCTTAAAGTAGTCGACCACGCTCATTTTGAATAACAGAATATAAAACTTAGTTAAATCAAGATTACTGATAGTAATAAGATAGGCAGTTTTGGGGAGAGCTCGGTTATAGCTACGCATGCAATTGCACACAATCGCACAATATGGTGGGATAGAACCAGATTATTGAAAACTAACTTGGTTGGGTGTAGGGATAGACTGATAACCAAACCTTCATTGATCGAATCAACAGCAAATACATGTAATAGAAATGATTCTGTACCTATACCAGATGCATAAAAGTTATACTACCTTTATTACAAGGAAGGAGAGAAGATTAGAACTACACAAATATTATCTGAAAGTTGTGGAGTTACATGATGTGAATATAGACAACAAATTATGCCCGAAACGTTATCCAGTAAGTGGTAGTCTCACTGTGTGGCATTTCTGATAAAAAGATAAAACTGAATTCTCAGAAAGACTGGAATGATCACAGTCTAACCGGAAATAACCACAAACAGTGAAAAATGGCTACGTTGTTGTCTGTTCTACACACTATGACCAGATAACCTCCAATTAATTAAAAGTTTACCGTAATTATATTCAGTATTAAATAGTTGACATTAACTTTTTAATATTTATATTGAGCTTGTAAAATTTCGGTAGCTCTGTGTAACCAAATTTTAGACACACTTCTCATGTACAAGAACGCAGATGGACAAACTTAACAACAAAGAAAGCTGGAACGAAGTGCACTGAACAAGTTGACGCAATCAGCAGTTAAAGGTGGAATAAACAAAAGTAGAAAGATATTAAAGTAAATGATAAAAAAATAAGCGAAAGAGAAGAAACCTGACTGCACAAACTAAAGCAGTGTGTTCATAATTATAAAAGCGATAAGAAGTGATTAAATACGCACAGATTTGATCGATTATCAGCCGGATCACTGAAGTCTTTCAAAGACTGATTTCTGCTATTTTGAACAATGCATACATGCAGTCTGACCTTTCTTACAAATTTCAGACTGATTGTCGGAAACTTTATCAGTTAAAGATATATTCTTGTTTCATACCAATTTGTGTTTGTTTAGCCTTAACATTTGTTGTCTAACTAGACAAAGTTTGTCATGCATAACACCTGTTACAATTACCTCAGTGCAGGTTCACAACCATTTTACCAGAGTGGTTGAATAGTAACATGTTGATCGCGGAACCGGTAGATTCTGCGTTTGATCTTTGGGGGGTCATGGGTGCGTACTGCTGAAGAATCCCATACTAGGACAGTACAGCTGTCCAGTGCTCCGAGATTTTCAACGGCTCTCCAATTAGTGTGAGTTCCTTATGAATACCAGCTTGAAATCAATAAATAAATCCCACAAACTTCTAGATAGAGTTACATTCCTTGTGTAGGTCTTTACACGTAACCTGAACATTACTTACTCCGTAGTTCTAAACATCTGTAACTGTACAGTCATAAGTATCCCATGGTTGCCACTTTCAAGAGAAATTTTTATCAGCCTTTGACTGAGATTGCTTGTCTTTTCGGTAGGTGAATGGATGTCTCTATAGCTTCAACGATCTTACAAGTTGGTATACGCTGAACGAGCCTTTTGCTGTCTAACAGAGTTAGAAAAATGTGAATGACATAGGTTATGCATACAAACACTTTAAGAGAAAGAGTGAGTAAACTTATGCGGTACGTTAACACAACATAAATGAAAATTTTCATTTCTCATCGCTTTAAAATAATTCGCTCATTATGAATAAAATTAGCATCATTGTCATAAAAATCACTAGTTTTTGTGAAGGCTCAGACAAATTGGTTGATCAGTTTACAGATTACTCATAAATTGCACGATCCATGATGAAATTCCTAGCGGTTGATTAGGTATTAACTCTTCGATTGTTGTATCGACACGATTTCTGTTGGAAATTACCCAGTTGAAATCATAAAATATGATCGTTGATATCAAACCATCGTAAACTACCTTAATATACTAGAGACCAACATCAGCAGTAAGAAATCAGGTATGTTGTACCTGTCACTCACTGGTCTATCCAGCTGGCTTTCAAACAGTGGATCAAGATTTCAAATACTGCTGCAGCTACCAAGGTTTAGACAACCGTGTGATGTTGCTAACTTCCAAACAATAGGCGTGGTTCACTGCCTACTTCACGAACGTGAACAAGGTTTCTGAGTGCATTTACTTTTTATTTGAATCACTCATGCTAATCAAGAGTTTTTTCTAGCCAAATCGGAAAAATTTAAACGCTGAATACTAATTTCGCTCTTTCAGGGCCAAACACATATGTGGTATGACCAAGAAGATTCAGCGCATGGAGTCGAACTGTACAAATTAAAGTGATCTGAATAGTTGCTATGGATGGAAACGTATACTAGTTGTTCAGGAGCGAATTTTACGGGATCAGATGATTTCTGTTTCTTTTGACGACAGACTTGTGTAATTCTGCCTAGCATAGTAGTAATCAGCTTTCCTATTTAGCTACTTTCAGTTCTTTTTCATTGCTGATTGGTTTTTGAATACGCTTATCTAATATTTGACATCGATATCTACCTTATCACATATGTCCTGTCGTTAACTCTGTTAACGTTTCAATTTTACCGACTTATTATCGTGAATATACAACAATGTCTCTGTTTATTACTTAACTAGACAACCATACAAATTCCCTATTACTAAAAGGATACTTTTAACATAAATTGATATTAACACAGATGTTCGTGCTGAGTACCAACCAGAATAGTATATAATCATATGCTTAAAGTGAAAAACTAAATTTGACTTTTACAAATCGACCGAATCATAAAGTTGAATAAGTAAAACGAAATATTTCCATACAGAAGAGTTTTTCCAGAGAGTATTTCACAAATAATTACATAACTATGATGAATTATACAAACAAACAGCATTGACTGACTGAGTAGCAAGTTCCAAGAATGATGTTAGATATCTAGCTTTAAAACCTACAATAACTATGCTTTGTTGTACATCAAGATTGTTTAAAACAAGTTATTCGTTGAGCAAAACTTTTTTTTGACTGATATTTATCAATACTGAATTACTCATTTCAAAGACACACAGAAAAATCAAGAGTTTTTATGATCAATTAACCTTTCTCGTCTTTTGATTAATCTACCAATGATTTTGGATAATGTAATTAGAAGACGTAGATTATCTGAAAAATGTGATGTATTAGCGCTATACATTTCGAACAATCTGATCACACATTTACTTGTTAAGGTATTATATATGAAAACTGGAAGTGGGGGAAGGACACATATGACATAAAGGAATTCAATAATAAGAAAGATAATGAGAGGAATAAAAGATAAGACTTGAAGACAATCTTGGTAATACGATAAAATAAGCATTACCAAGGTAGGCTTAATGTAAGGACAAACTGCTTTTGCACACACAATGGGGGGTTAAATTTATTTATGGCTAGCGCCTCAACAAACTTAAGTATACGCCCCTGACAGTTTCGGTACAAAATTGTAAAGGTTGTCTTGATATCAATTCTGTGACTCTTATCAATGATGTGTTTCGCAATGGATGATGATGGTTGTCTGCCATCTGCGCTTATCAATGTTTGTGAATCCAGCTGCTTTCGTAGCCACTTTGGAACATGTTCCCCTACCCTCAAGTGCATATCACGATTCGTCCTCCCTATGTATGTTTGTCCACACACACATGTAAATTTATAAACGCAATGGGATGTGACACAATCGTTTATACAGCGTTGAGGTCTAGGTAGCAGCAGGTGTTTGGTCTTCTCAACTATGATAAGCTTAGCTGCATAGTACGTTTTGCTAACAGCAGACCTTAACCTTCGTTTTAATATTATGCTATTAGCTTCTCCTCTGTATGGTAACGCGATGTAAACGCATTTCTTCGAAACAGAGCACAGATCAGGTTTGAATCCTCGCTGATTTTTGCAGCGGTTTATGAACTTCAATGGATATCCATTTTCCACTAATGTTTCCGTTAGTATTTTGATATCATCATCCATTGAGTCCTCCGTACAAATACGTTCGATCCTTTTAAATAGACAAATTACCAAACCTCGCTTGTATTGGGTTGGACAAAAGCTATGGAAACTTAAATACACTACCAATGATTATTTAACTTGATAGTGAAGGAATATCCAACAAAAAACTAAATTTATACAACAGTAAATATGTACCGTTAGATTGGTGAAAATTTAGAGCGTTCACTTCATTTTCTTGGCTTTTTTTTGTTTGTTTTGGAAATGATGTATTTTCAAGTGATTTCTTCTGTTAAACTTTGAATTTAGAGACACCATCAGGTGAAAGAGAAGCATTGTTACTCAATAAATTACGAATGTGTTCAATCTTATTCGATTTCAACGATAATACTGTTCAGTTGAAATCGAAAGAAATTAAAAGATTGACATTATTAGAACTAGCTGAATTCATTTCAATAAACTGTAATTCACTTACTGAACCTGTTTACTGGGTATTATCAATCTGCTCAAAGTCAATGTCTTTCGTACTATTGTACCAATCAATACAATTACAGAAATGTCAGATTATGTTGATAATGAAGATGAACAAGTTTCAAATTTGGAACCATCTTGGCCACATCTTCAGGTAAATGACTTCTGTAGGCATGTTAAATGTGTATGAAACGTGTTTCACTTTTATTTATTTCTTTCTTCGTGATAAATCTAATTTTCTTAGTCCTGCACCCGATAATATAGTGGCAATATATGGATAACACATTTACTGTGTTGAAACTGGAACATGTCAACAGTTTTATCACACATATTAACTCAGTAGTAGTAGGCACAATCTAGTTCACTTATGAGGTAGAAACAAACAAGGAAAACTACCTATGTTGCATTGCAGGATATAAAAAAAGGAAGATAGACGGTGGTTTGAATACTACAGTCTACAGAAAACCGACACATTCCAACAGATACCTAGACTTCAAGTAATCTTATCCAATGTCTGTTAGGGCAGGCTCAGTCTAATATCTAAGTGATAGAGCTAGTACAAGTACCTAAACAGCGAATCGAAACACTTAAAAAAAGCACTAATAGTTCATGACTATCCTTTCCAGTTTATTGAGAAATTTGTATGAACACAAAAGGAACGAGAAGATAATAGTAACAAGAGTACGAATAATAACGACAGCACAAGTAGAAAGGAGTTCATAGCCTCAATTGTGTTACCCTACAAGGAAGACACATCAGAAACTTTACGTGGGATCCTCAACAAAGCTGGTGTTAGGTGGCATTTAAACCTGCAAACTAACTCAGAGGTAAGCTTTGTCCACTGGCTTAAGGATCTGACAGAACTAATTAAGCAAAATAATCTAATCTATCAAATTCCATGTGATAACGGTGAGTCAGGTCAAATACATAGGTCAAACTAGCCGGTCAGGGTCAGTTAGAATAGTGGAACATAGGAATTTAGCTAAATATAGAATGACAGACCCGACTAAAATCAACAATTTAGAAAAAACCTTGGTTATTGTAGTGTATGCATTAACACACAACCATACAATAAGGTGGGATACAATCACTGCACTCAGAGTCAGTATAATTAGGTGGAGAGATTGATTACTGTATCTTTGTTCATCGAATCAACACGCAACACATATATTAGAAATGATACAACAGCTATACCAGAGATATGAGAAATTTTACCACTAATAAGAACAAATAATATGCGGTGACATAATTATGAAAATCAAATGTTGAAATTTGTGTGATTACATTGATATGATTATGAACAGTAATAACTTATGCTCGAAACGTCATTAAGTAAATAATATTGAATCACACTGTGTTATAAATCAAATAAGTAAATCTAATATGGAATTAAATTCTACCACAGTCTCCAAGGTTTACACCTATACTAATTTTCTTCAGGTTTGATATGCTTGTTCCAGTGACTAAGTGAATCACTCTATTCCACCCTAGCTTAGGTTTTAAGTGCCTCATTTAGTAAGTATGGCAAATAAAAAGTCGTGGTGATAAAACCTTAGCAGGTGAACAGTAAATTTTTGATTTAATTTACTTGCTCAGTCTGTAAATGCCCGTTGAATACTCCGTGGCTAACTGGGGCATAATACATTGTTTTGATAAGTACTTCCGATGAAAATATCTCCTATAACAGAATGATGTCAAAAAGAGGTTTAATGAAGTAGGTTGGATTTGGACGTGTGTTATATGCGAGCACTGTACTAACATCTAATGGGGATTTTAATTCGTATGTGGCAATTTATCATGAAAGGATAAGGTACTGTTGCGATAAAAAGTGTTACTAGGGAAATATATGATTGCAAATATCCTCACATTTGAAATTATTAGTGGACAATGGTTAGCAGTATAATCTGGAACGTGTGTTTCATCTTGTCTGGGACTCATCAGCTTGACATACTTACCTTTCGGTTAATGATATTGTCCTCACTAAGAACTGAACTCAGGACCGATATATATATATATATATATATATATATATATATATATATATATATATAATCATTATTATTAGTCCTTGGGTTCCTAATGGAACATAGGGCTTCAGTAGCACGCCTCCATTCCACTCTGTTCTCTGAAATCATTTAAACCTGGCTCCACGACAGCCCACAAGCTCTCATTTCCTCCTCGCACGATCTCAATGTCACCCCCACCTCGGAAGCCCAACTCATCGTTTACCGTCTGGGTTTCATTTGACACCCTGTCCTGGCGCGTGATATCCCCAGTCGGCCTTCTCAGTGTATGCCCAATCCATCTCCACTTCCTTCCAGTGCATATTTGTTGGATGATAGGTTCTTGGTTGGTTCGTCACCAGCCAGAGCTCCTTGTTGCTTATTCTTTCTGGCAATCCATGTGATCTTCAGTAGCGAGCCAGCGTAAGCAGTTGTTGATGAATGTCTGTAGTTTATTGGAAATCCCTTTCGTAACGCGCCAAGTCTCAACCATACAGAAGCACTGACTTGACTGGGTTGGTGTTGAAAATCCGGATGTTGTTCCACATGCTGAGTGGAGTGCATTAGATCTCCACACTAGTTCCAGGCTAATGAAAACCTGTCTTGCTTGTCCGATTCTGACTTTGACATCCTCGTCTGTGCCTGTGTCGCCTGTAGTTGAAACAGTGCTTCCTAGATAGGTGAAGGAGGCTACTTCCTTTAAGTTTCTTCCGGTCATGGTGATTGGAGTTTGCTGTTCTTGTTGGAGTTGTTGGTTGGGTATCTTCATCACCTCTGTCTTCTCTACGTTCACTTGAAGTCCCATCTTCCTTCGCTGCCCTGCCTCTTCTGTCAACTTGTTAGTTTTCGCCTGTAGATCTTCAAGTTTGTGCGACGTCAGACACAAGTCATCGTTGGCGAAATCCAAGTCTTCTAGGTTCTTTTCCGTCGTCCAGCCAGCGTGTCCTCCTCTTCTCGCTCCCCACAGTTGTCTGCTGCATGATCCAGTCGACCACAATCAGGGAGATCACCAGTGATAGTAGGCAACCTTGTTTCACTCCTGTCTTCACTTCAAAAGCATCACTGAGCTTCCCATTATGAATTACTTGGCTGGCATGTGGCGTCTTCATATAGTTGTTGAATGAGGCGGATAAAGGTTTGCGGTATTCCGTAGTAATGAAGCAGTTTCCAAATTACCTCTCGGTCGACGCTATCAAAGGCCTTCTCAAAGTCGATAAAGTTGAGGTGTAGAGTTGACTGCCATTCTATACTCTGTTCTATGATGATGCGTAGTGTGGCATTGCAGTTTGGTCTGCACATGATTTGTACTTCCTGAATCCAGCCAGCCAGCCAGCCAGCCTGTTCGGGTCGTAGTTTTGAATCCAGTGCATCCTTTAGTCTCTCCAGCATGATGCGGCTTAATATTGTGCTCGCTTTGGGTGGACAGGAGTGGAGCGTGATCCCACGCCAGTTCTTGCAGACACTGAGGTCTCCCTTCTTTGGGAGTTTGACAAGGTAACCCTTCTTCCAATCAATGGCCAGGTACCTTCTCTTCCTTCCACACCTTCTGCAATAGTGGTGTGAGCATGTCCGCCACTGTTGTCTTTGCGTCTGTTCTCAGTGCTTCTGGCGGGATCCCGTCTGGTCCTGCTGCTTTCCTGCATTTCAGTAGCTTTATGGCGTTCAGGACTTCCACTTTTGTTGGAGGATTTATGTTCACTTGTAGTTCAACGGCTGCAGGTGGTATTTCTGGACGAAGTGCAGGTGGTTGTGATGGTCGATTCAAGAGCTTCTTGAAGTGGTCGGCCCATCGTTTCCTTTGTTTCTCTTCTTTCGTAATTACATTTCCGTCATCACCTTTTATTGGTTTCGTCTGCGTTGATCTCTTCCCAGACAGCGAGTAACCTGGTTATTTGATACAATGTTGTCAGGTCTCTATCTCTCCTACCTGCAGCCTGTTCTGCTACACTTGCCAGTGTGTTGTGGAAGTGTCTCTTGTCTTTGCGTGCACTCTTCTTCACTTCTTTGTCCAGTGTAGTGTTTTGTGCACGTTGTACTCAGTTCCTTTTCTCGTCGTTCATCTTTTCACTGGTTTATCTTCTGCTTCACCATCTTCCTCTCCCTGCTCTATCACCTTCCATGTGTCCGTCGTGATCCATTTCACTCTTTGTCTTCTTTCTTCTTCCTTCCTAATACGGCTGTGCAGGTTTCTTCCCACATCTCTTCCAAAGAGTTCCAGTGCTCTTCCAAACAGGCTTCTTCTGAGATGTTCCTCGATATCTCCCATTTTGTCTTGATGGCTGACTGGCGTGAAGATTTCCTTTGTAGTTTCGTCCTTCAGTTTCTGAGTGTTGTACTTGAACTGTGGTTTATCACCAGCTTCCTTGGAGGCTTCAACTTGATTTGGAAGGTAGGTTCCTTGCACTAGATAGTGAGTGGTGTGAACCTACATCTGCTTCTCTTCTTGACCTTGTGTCAAGTAGACTGCGTCTCCATCTCCACTTTCTTGAGATTGAGATAAAGTCGATCTGATTTTTAGTGTGTCCTGGTGTCTGGTGAAATCCATGTCGCTCGCTTTGTGGATATACTTGTGCTTGAACACAATGCCTGGCCTTCCAATCACCAAATCATTGAATGCACAGGACTCTGCAAACAATCCTCCATTCTCGTTCATCACCTCACCGAGCACTTCTCGACCCATGATTAGTTCTCTTCCTGTGTTGTCCCCTCCCAGTTTGGCATTCATGTCGTCCCACGCATTAGAATTTTGATATCGCCAATTGGAGTGGAGTCTTGTCCAGTGTTGATTGCAGTTGTCTGTAGAACTTCTCCTTTTTCTCTTGCTCTGCATTATTTGTAGGTGCATAGCGTAGCATTGTATGATTGTGACCTTCCTTCCCTCCTTCCTTTTGAGTTGAACCTTGGTGTCATGATCCTGATTGTGGAGGAGATTGGTTCCCACTGCATGAGAGCCTTTGATGCTGGTGGCTAGTAACTAGTGAACTAGTTAACCAGGTGAGGTTTATATATATATATATTGATTAAGAGTGACCAAAGTGACACTTCGGTAGTACGTCTTGGATATATACATATATGAATAGTGTATTAATAATTACTAGCATATCTGATTGCGACAATCAGAGGTACATCTCAGAAAGCACGTTTGACCCAA